TGCCAGAATAACCAACAAATCCCTCTTCGAGAAAGAATAGCCCGAATGCTCCTTAGCATTGAGTGTGGTGAGACTGTCTCATTCACTTTGGGTATAATATCAGGACAGACCCGTTACGTAGAAAAGGACATTATGCTTGGAATATGGTCAGTGAATTAAAAAAAAAAAAGAGGTCATCAGTGAGATGAATTAATACAGTGGCTATAACATGAGTTCAAACATGAGAGCAATTTGGGGGATAATGGAGGACCAAGCAGTGTTTCACTCTGTTGTAGATAGGATAACTATGAGCTAGAGTCAACCCCAGGGCAGCTAACAACAAACTGTACAACAACCATCATAGGAGATCATTACCTGAACAAACAAAGCAATGATGGCAATTCCATGTGGTTTTCCCACAGCCTCATCAATGCTGCCAAACAGGGTAGAGTTCCAGTGGATTAGATGGAGCTGAAAGAAAATGATGATAGGTATTAGTGTATTGTAATATATAAAAACAAGCACGTATCTCTCAACTTCATCAAAACTATAATTGTGCAGATTCAATGCTATATAAAAGTATCACAGAAATTAGTTGTCCAGTCAAGTCTGATTTATTTTGACCCCATATGTGTCAGAGTACAACCATTCTCCATAGGGGTTTCAGTGGTTGATATTTCAGAAGTAGATGATCAGGACATTCATTCAAGACACCTCTGGGTAGATTCGAACTCCAAACTCTCCATTATCAGCCAAATATGTTAACCATATGCAGTACCCAGGGACTCCAGGAATATCAAATAGACAACAAATACAACTGTTATCTTAACATGTTCTCTGTAGAATTCCTCCTCCTCCTTCTTTTTGTCAAAACCCAATTCTCACCTTAATTGCCAATAACGCTGGTGTTAAGGAATGTGACTTATACCAGGGAACAAGTGGGCCTTCTAATCTGAGTTCCAATCAATCGCAGGATATGTGGATCTTGGGCTGATTTTCTCAAGTTGGGGAAAGACGCTGTGGAGGCTCAGAGTTGAATATGTGCTCTCTTTGTGGTCTCCAGTTCTTCTTCTGCTTCTTCTCTCCATTCACATAAAATTCTGTTGTTCTATCCCATCAAATGGAGTTACACAATCATCAATGCTATCTGCTCCTCATTCCCACTCACCCCGTCTTCCTGTATCCTCAGAGAAGCATTCCTGTTACTGTTTCTATAGCTATCTGTCTTGACTTTCAAGTGCAGAACGATCTTAAGTATACAAATGATCATAGGCAAATCTAACATGATTATGTAATGAGGTAAACAGCATTAAAAGTAAAGGGAGGAAATATTAAAGAACGAGTGCATAATTATGTGGTTATCAGTACGATACTGCACCCTGTATATATCATCCTTTCCATGTGGCCCTTCTGAGAGGGGCTGTGCAATTACCTTGTAGGTGACTTTTTGTGTTTCTATTGCATCCATGACCCTTCACATTGAGTTGGTTGCATGTTTTTGAACTTCTGATACCACTTCCCATCAACACCTCACGATCACACAGACTGGTGTGCTTCTTCCATGTGGGCTTTGTTGCTTCCCTGCTTGATGGTTGCTTGTTTAATTACAAGCATCGAGACCCCAGACATTATATCTTTTGATAGTCAGGTACCATCAGATTTCTTTGCCACATTTGCTAATGTATCCATTTATTCTTCAGCAATCGTGTCGGTAAGAGTATCGTTCAATGTCACATTAGAATGAAACATTCTTGTCTGAGGCAGGATTTAAGTAGAAGCCCAAAGGCCATCTATTTCCTTGTTGCATATGTGTGTGTGTGGTTTTTTTTCTCTCCTACCCTACCCTACAATTATGCTTACCCATCATTCACATTTCAGTAATTCTTCTCAGATATAATTCATTTGTTCAAATATATCAAGAAAAGCTACCCACTTCTCGCCATCAATTTTAAACATTTACTATTCTCTGGTATACATCATTATTGGCTCCCTGTCCGCCCCCACCTCCATCCCCCAAGAACCATAAGTCCAGTCGTTATCTCCATAAGGTTGCTTATCCTGGATTATGTGTATAGCTAAACATAAAAAGATATACACATAGTCACAAGTCTAACAAGAATGACATTGAGCAAATAAATACCTCTGTTTAAAGAAAGAAAAGAACATGTTAAAAATAATCACTCTAGTGCCCACTTCTGGGGTCCCTTCTTATAGCTGAAAAGAATCAATATTTAATTAACAATTAATGGGAAGTCCAACTTACATCCTAGTGATGAACACAACCAGGGTGACCTGAAGATTTCAGACCGTTAATTACTTTTCGTAAAATGTCATTTCTCCCTCTACACAAATCCTGCTCCTCATAATTCAAGGGAACAAAACAACAGGTCAAAATATAATTACCTGGGGACACAGTCATCCCTCCAACCCTCCAACCCTCCACCCCAGCATCACCAGTCAAGAAAGGATCCAGCTATCCCAGCACCAAGCATGGAAAGCCCCAAGAATCCCCATGATGCAATAAAGAAGGGCCTGCCTAACCCCCAAGACCCAGTGGGAAGAACAACTTGGGTGTCCCAGCAAGGCGGGCCTGGTTATCATCAAGGCCCAGCAAAGAAAGCCTTGCCATTCTTTCCAACAGGGAGGATGGTCTCAGGCATCTCCACCCTTCTGGCAATGAAAATAGATCCCAAGTTCTCTGTCCCCTAACAAGGAAAGCCCTAACCATCACCACATCCCAGCAAGGAGGGACTCAACCACCCCTGAGATACTTCAAAGAAGGGCCCAAGCATGCCTGGCCCCCATCAAGGACGACTCCACCTGTCCCTAGAAAGTCCCAGTGATCCCTTAGACCCAGCAAGGAAGGGCCCTGCTGTGCCAAGACTGGACAAGGAAGGCCTCAGGTGTCCCTACCTTCTGACAAACAAGGAAGGCCCTGGATGTCCATGCCTCCTCATAAAAGAAGGGCCCAGCAATCCTAGAAGGAGGAGTCTGGGCATCAACACATCCCAGAAAGAAGGATTTGAACCATCCCTGAAATAGAACAAGGAAGACTTCAGCCATCCTGCAACCCAGAAAAGAAGGGCCTGGGCATCGCAACTGCCTGGCAATGTAGAAAAGCTCCAGCTGTCTACATCCCCCTGCAAAGAAGGCCCTGCTTATCCCAGCAACCCATCAAGAGTCAATCACCCTCATAAAACCCAGCAACCCACCCAAGATTAATAGTTATATCACAATGCCAATGAAACAGCAGTCAATTGCACACATACACAAATATATAATGTGCATATATATGTATATATATGTGTGTTTATGTACGTATGTATGTATGTATATATAGATGTGTGTGTGTATATATAGACATAAACTTCTCAACATAATCCTGACTCTAACGGTTACTCTGAAGAAAAGGCTCAGGAATTATCAGAAATATAATTCTAGAAAGGTGTTTAAATACTAACAACAGATAGATGAAAGAATTATAAAACTA